AGTGGTAGAGTGCATGCTTAGCATACACAAGGTCCTAGGTTCAATTCCCAGTACTTCCTCTAAAAACGTAAATAAATAAATAAATAAACCTAATTATCCCATCCCCCTCAAAAAAAATTTTTAAAGTACAAAGTGTTTTAAATTTTATTCATAATAAACTAAGTTATAGCCTATTGTAACCTACAAAACATTTCTTATAAATTGTCTAACTTATTTTTTCATTTATGTACAGTTTCTTAAGTAAATTTTTTAAATATTTGTTGTGGTCTGTTCTATAAACATTGCCATTCTCTTTCCCTTCAGGCTTATTTGCATGAAAGAAACTTGGGTTTTGCTTGCTTGTATTACATGGCCATTAAGCTAACTTCAGTATTCTCTACCTTCTTTCCTGTAGGTTAACTTTTTCAAGTTCTGTTCATATTCTAAATAAGTGTTAAAAACATGCTTTTTATTTCCTACTTTATAAATAAATTCTCTAAGTTGTTCTCCATGCTATGTGGGGACAACAACGGACACCCAGAAGGATGTTCAACCCCCAAAGCAGCAGTGAATGTTATTTGTGGAGAATGTCACATAGAAAATGAAATAAAATGCAGGGATCCAATCCAGTGCAGAGAAGGTGGATACAAAATAATGTACAAGAAAAGGACTAAAAGATTGGTGGTATTTGATACTCAATGAAACATGGAATTCAGAGGAATATGTTCATTTGTAATTGGATTTGCTGTTAATGTTGTTGTATAGCTTTTGATTTGTTTACTATAAACACATGATTTCATTTTAAAGAACACTGTATTTAGGTATCTATTAACAGTTCATATAAAGACATTGTTTTTCGTTCAATTAAAAAAAAAACTTTCCAGCTCATCGAATAGTTAACTGAGTTCATTTTTCATTTTTTTCTCCTACTTCCCTTCATTCTTAAGTATCATATAAAAAGCATTGTGGTTATTATATTTATACACTACTCATATACTTATTGTGGCTTGAGATGTTAAATAACAACACAGAGGTCAGGGCCATGGCAGGCAAACTCAGGAGAGATGATTTAAAAAGAATAAAAGCAAAATTTACAAAGATATGAGCGAGATTAATGGAAACCAACATGGGATAGTGAAACATCCTTGGGCTAGCAACAGTGCAAAGTTATCAATACCATTAGACCTTAAAGGAGACAGGAGAGGAAACAGTCCCTAGAACTCCTAGAACAGGAATGCTGCCAGCACCGGGAAAGAGTGCTGCAGCTGATGGAACAAGAAGTTGGCCAAACATAAGGAATGCAGCCACTTCCAAACCACAGCCCACAGGAAGACGACAGGGAATAAGTTCTCTAACTCTCTGCAGTCTCTTCAGTCTCCTTACCAGCTGAAACAAACCCAAAACCAAAAGAGCCTGATTAATGACCACAAGAGATAACTTCCAGGGGCACAGATAAGGGTGGAGAAGGGTAGAGATTGAGTCTAGCAAAGATAGTATGCCCTTTGTATGTGAATCATTGGTAGTAATTTTTTTTAATTAATTGAAAACATTTGGCAGCAGAAGAATATCCTACACAAGAAAAGAGTGCCTGGAAGATAGTAAATATTTGTAAAACTTTTGCTGAATAAATAAAACTTAGACTGGACTGTAAGTACTAATACTAAGATGACTTAAGGTCAAGTCTAGAACTGATTCTTTTTTTGTTTATTTGTGTTGTTTTTTTTTAAAATTGAAGTATGGGTGATTTACAGTGTTGTGTTAGTTTCAAGTGTACAGCAGAGTGATTCAGTTATACATATGCATACATAAGTACTCTTTTTCCATAATAGGTTATTACAGATATTGACTATAGTTCCCTGTGCTATACCATAGGACTTTGGTTTTTTTTATTGCAGTATACTCAGTTTACAAAAGAATATGAAAATGAATATATGTACATATATGTATGACTGAACTATTATGCTGTACATCAGAAGTTGACACAACATAGAACTGATTCTTAAATTCCTAGATACTAAGGTAATATCTACTACAGTAGGCTCTTGGTGAAGGTTTACTAACTCGACAGTTGAATGAACACATAGATGCGTGGATGGACAGACGGGTGCATAGATGATTCACGAAATTTTACATACATTAAGATCCTTCAGTATAGTCTTGCCTAGCCCCTTCATTTTGCAGATGAAGAAATGAAGTTTCAAACTGATTTAAAACACAATAATACAGAATTCGAATCCTAATCTCATGACTCTAGGCTCTTCCAACTACAGTATGCTCTCTCTCACTTGCCATTCAAAATTTGCTCCATCCAAACCAAGTACAGATGACCAAAATGAAAAAGAAAAGAAAAAAGAAAAAGAAAAGAGCGTCACCTCACAACGCATGATCCATGACACATGCTTGCCAGACTAGCCAGAATACTGAAACAACTCTGAGGAGTTCACTTGTCTCTGTGTGCCCTAAGTGGGCAAGTAAGTTGTATCCTCAGAAAGTATTGGAGAATACAGGTTCCCAGAGCTAATGACACTTAGAATTTTTCATTGCTCAGTCCAAAAATCTGTAGCTTAATATTATTATTAAACTAAATATTCATCTTATTTTTATGAAAGTACAATAATAATAAGTTTAACCAGTGCCAAATTTAACAGTAAATTTCTTTACATTTCCCCCAAACGCAGTCACCATTTTCCATTTTGGAGACCTTTAAAATTCTAATTGATGAAACACAATATTAATTTCTGGCTCCTAATCAATGTTAATGATTTTAATTGCTTACTCACATGAAAAACTGCCTTAAAAAAATTGAAATCCTTTTTAATGATACTAAGCTTAAGCTTGGCAATTTTCCACATGTGTTACAAAGATAATGATATCCTATTGGGATATTTATCGTCTATACTTTATTTCTGTTTAGATATTCAAAAATTTAGATGCAAACAGTGTTTGGCACCATGATTTTTTCCCCCTTCATTTCAGTGACAATGATGCAAGGCATAAAATTCAACCTTCATGATTTTAAACATATTATCTGTATAAAATATTTAAAAGCTTGTTTTTGAAGTCAGAATATATCTTGGAAATATCACTTGGATTTTTAAACACTTAGTTCCAGAAATATAAAATTATCTGTCCAAGGTCACACAACTTATTTGTGGCAGAGACAGGACTAAAATTAGATGTTTCTATTTCCTTAAAATTCTGTTCCTATCCAGCATATGAATGTGTTTTAGAGGATAAGCACTTTTCAGACCTTGGAATCCACACTGAAATAAAATCCCACTTAACAGGATCACTGGAGTCCAAAAATTACTATCCACTAAAATGTAGAATTACATCGTTGCAGATAAGGAGTTTGAGGATTTGGCTGCAGCATAGAAATCCTTCTCACACTTAGGTGTGGTGTGGCACCACAGAGCGGCGCCGGTCCTCTCTGGCCTAAGCAGAGAGGGGACAGCTTCGGGTCCTCTGGCGTGGCTCCAGGACAGCAGAATTTCCAAGTCAGTGCCCATTTAGTGGGCCTGGTTTGGCTATGTACCAGGGCTACAGAGACCCGCCGTCCACCTCCTGCTTCTCAGGACCGGTAGCCTGTTATTTTCCCGCTCGTCCTGGTCCTCCTGGAAGAGGACAAGAACGCTATTCTGTCGGCCCCCTACCCCCACCCCCAGCCACCCCCACAGCACGCATACACTTTCAAGAAGCGGGTCGGGGGGACGGGGTCCTGAGAGGAAGATAGAAGCAATTCCAATTACGTCCGATTTTGCTATGTTGCAGGCTTTTTTTTTTAACTCTCAACATTAGTTGTGATCCTTCACCCCGATAAACTGGAGTCAGGAATTGCCCGCACGACGACCTGTAGCGCGTACCCGTAATTAGAGGGCTTTCTGAATCAACCAGCGTGAGGTGGAAATTCGTGGAACCAAATGCCCAGCACGACACGAGGCAATCTGAAAGGATACTGGCTTCTATTCTTTCATACAAACCGGCAAAGGAAAGAGAAGCAGGGTTTCCTACCTGAATTCCAGCCCGCCGGAAGGGTCTCGGCAGGCCTCGGAATCCGGCC